TGTGTAAGCGGACTACTTAAATTAGGCACCAAAAGTGCACGTGTGGCTAGTTGTAACCTCCAATATAAGGTGAGCCCCTGGTGGCATGCCGTGTTCTAATATACTTGAATAAAAAAATCGCAACTCCCAAGATAGTGACTTTAACTTAAAAAAAAAAAAAAAAAAAAAAAAAAAAAAAGGAGAGCATAAATTTCTAATATAGCAGGAATCAAATTATCTAAGAGATCAAATACTATTCGATATTTAATATCTTTACAATTAGATTCAAATTTTTCTATTACTTTTTCTCTAATTTTATACTACCCACTATGTGCTAATTCGAGTAATAAATTTATTCTTCATGGTCTGGGTTTTTTTGCCAAAATTTTTTTTTCCCAAAAACAAAATGAAACAATTTTTGAAAAAAAAAATTATATAAAATTATTATATGTTTTCTGCTATTTAAGAAAACATATAACAGTCCTAATAGCAGAATAAATGAACTAATTTCATAAGAAATATTAAAAGAAAACTTATTTAAATTTGTGATTGCCTTATGAATAAAAAGTTGGCCTGGCCAATCTACTACAATTAATGCTACTCGATTATATAAATGCCCAATATCCTTGTTAATTTTTAATAACATCTGAAGTGCATTAATATAATCATACATTGAATGTAAATTTTTTTTCTGAAATCCAACTAACCATATATTTTTTATAAATTACTTCTCTTTTTGCTCAACTATTGCATCATTATAAATGTGAACTATTAATAAATCAATCTTATTATAATCATTTTTGTTTAAACTTTCCATTCATTATAATCATCACATTTCATATGAAATATTAAAAATCTTATTAAATTGAGTTACTAATCTAAAATAAATATCACTTGAATCAATATTCAATGGGTTATGGATATTTGTATTATTATAAGTAAGGGGAATTGGTGCACACATTCTCACAGGTTTGCAAATACATGCTATATGTTTTGCTGTTGATAGTATTGTTGAATCAAAATGTCTATTTTTGTAAATATTATAATAATTATCTAAATTATATACAAACAAAATATTCATCTAAATAAATTAATACAAATTAGTTATATTTTATATATATATAAAAAAAGAAAAAACTTACATTATTTATAAAAAACTGATGAATATTTCGTGGATAATCCTTCATAATTTTTTTCTTATAATCATCAACAGTTCTACTACACACAGAAATACCTAGACTATATAATACATCAATTGCTGAGTATAATAATCCATATGATAAAAGATACAACCTAACCTTGAATTCGAAACTATTTACAAACTTATTTCTTATATTAGCCATTATATAACAAATGCTGACTACTGACTTTTTGCTTCATTTTTAGTATATATAGACCTCTCATTAGGAATTAGAGCATTAACTATTTGGTTAAAAAATTCATATAAACAACAATCAGCATTCTCTATTATTGATTGAAAATGAGTAGGATTAAGTTCAATAAAACCAGGATGTTCATGTTGATATTTATAAAGAACCTTAGTAAGTATTTGAACCTGCTCCACAAATGTGAGATTATGAATATCATAACTGCTTGTAACTAATTTATTGTCAATAACATTTGTTGGCTTTATTTCAGTAAGATAATGTTTTTTTGAATGCCAATTTGGTTCTATAATATCTAAATAGTGACTATAACAAATCTCATCTCTGATATTTAGATAGCTATAATGTTCTAAAAGTTCATTTTTTTGCATTTTCTCATATGCTAAAAAAGTAATTTTTTGAAAATTATTTGAGTCCCTATTACAATCTCTTATTGAACAGAGTCCAGAATTTTTTCTAGTCTTACTGACAGGTATACTAATGCAGGTAACAAATTTTTTTTTTTGATTTTTTTTTTTTTTTTATATCACTACTGCAATTATAACAGCTATGAAATAATAACAACAAGAATCACAGCAGTTACAACAAATACTGCTACTGAGAAATTACAGCAGCTATAATGAACATATCTACAGAGATGAACACAGCAGCTATGATGAACATGATGGCTGCAACAAACATAGTAGCTACAATGAACATGGCTATTATAGTGATCATGATAATCACGATGATACAGAGACCATGTCAATAACATAGTAACTACAACTTTGAAACTTTAGTTATAATAAAAAGCTTTAGCTATTGTAAAATCCAAACTTGATCTGATTGAAAAAAAAATTTTTTTTTGGTTAATTTAATATAATTTAATTGTTTAATTATAATTTAAAAAATCATGATCTGCAGGCTGCATTTCACAGCCAATCAAATAGAATCTCTGTCATGCTTTTTTAGGCAATTATTATGAAATCCTCTTACTTAATAATTAGAAGAGGTGGGATTTAAAGATTTAGCAGTCATAATGAGCCTGTAGAAGTATTTAGTAAAATATCTTAAAAGCTTAATTAATTTGAAATAATAGGTATTGAGATAATATCTCCTATATGTGGAAGGCCATGTTAATGACGGTCAGACCCAATGTACAGGGCAGACTATGGTACCTTGCACAGCTGTGAGAGCCGAGCATATGGTGATCG